ATGGGTTCAGAAAACACTAGTGGAAAATTAGGGGAATTACAGCTTGTCCTGAGAATGACCCTAGTAAGAGGAGGCGGTCTTAGATCTAGGAAAAACATTACTCAGCAGAAATATGACACCAATATGGTGGAGAAAAAGTGACTCAGCAGAGGTGGGATATGTTACGATCAGAGCCAAGTGAGAAGGATTAAGGGAAAGAGATGACTCAGCAGAAATTCTACGATAAAAGAGCGAGCGCAAACAAAGAAATTCCAGCCTTGCTCCGGAGCTTGGCTCATTTGGGTTGTGATGTGTTTGTTGCCTGCGAGCACATTAAACTCAGTTGCATCTGATTCTACGTGTCTCCAGTGATTTTTTTTGACCTCTGAGTATTTGAGTTTTTGATATCTAATGGAAGATAAAGAAAGTCCGTTTGAGAGGAAAAGAGCGAGGTCGCGAGCTAACTGGCCCGGCTCGGGACCTTGACTTTTTTGCTTCTACAACATCCCGTTACAAAACATACCGGCATCGTAGCTTCAGCGAAAGAGAACGTTATGACATCACTTACACACCTTGTGTATTCTCTCTAATTATGTATTTTCACAGTCTTATACTTCCACAGTGTTATGACTAACTGTGACTTTCTTAACTTGTGTAATTCATGGCACAATTTAAACCGAATCAAAAAATGTTTCCTTGAAACTTTGGGCTTTAAGATATATTTTCTCTACTTAGGTGGGTGTGACAGAGGTGTTACCCAATCAGCAGTGACATGTATATAAACTAAACAATTTATTTTTTTAAATTTCTCACTTGCTTTAACATTGTAAATGTTTACCATGCCAACAAAGCCCCTTTGAATTAAGTGAATTAAACTCTGCTGTATTAAAAGGTGGTGTGCTTGCGTAACACAACCAGTTCAACACACCCCGATTTCGGTTAAATAAATGTTGTGTTGCGTTTTGTTGGGGCTGAATGCAGCCGAGGTCGGTCCCATGTTGTTCCACCGACAGGAGAGACATTGCCTCTTTATAAGCAAGAAAGTAGAGGGGGATGTTTTAAGCACCCGGCAAGGTTTAATGAGGCAAGCTAAAATGGAAAAGGGAAGTTATAGTGTTGATCTTTCATCACCTACACTGTGCTAACACTTTATTTTATACACACTTTTCAGCAATGTTGTAACCCAACTTATCAAAGACAGTGGCCTTATTTTGGATTATGCAGGAGCAGAGACTAGCTGTTGGGCTGGCTTTGCTACCAACATGGAAATGCCAAAGCGAAGCAGCTGGCAGAATCATTACAGGTACAGCAGGCTGCTGCTATGGCAGGACTTTGTCTGCATAAAGCCTCCTTCTCTAACCTACCAGTGGATCTGGTCCGCCTTCACTGTCATGTGCTGAAAACAGCTGATTCCTGTCCAGATTTGGGCTAGAGAAGAGTGGGTTATCCAGGCTCCACCTCTTGTCTATATGCTCAGCTACTGAGGAGGCAGCACCCCCAATCTCCCTGTGGCTGTGCATCGGATGACTAGCAGAGAGGGTGGGGGAACTGGTCCTGCGACTGACGATGTGTTGGAGACAGTGGTTGAGAAGAGTGAGATCTCCACCTTCATACAAACTCCATGGGGGCGTGACGTGTGAGGGTGGGGAGAGATGTGAAGGTGAAGTCACCAGGGTTGGTTGACTGTGTGGTGATGGGGGAGAGGGTGAGGCCAAAGGAGAGACTGGAGGAGATGTGGGTGAGCCTGGCTTAGAGAGTGGACGAAACTGGGCTGCTGTGGAGAAAGAGCGTATGTGTTTGTGCTCCAGAGACCCACCCTGCCTTGTCTTATCCCTCGGTAGGAGAGACATGCAAGCCTTGCAGTGGTGGCGGGGCTGTGGGCTGCGTGGGACGCTCAGACGGAGCTCTGAGGGAGGTTGTAAATTCAGGGGAAGCAGAGGTGACCTGAAATGGCTTGCTGAGTCATGATGAGAGTGTTGATGTGGGGTTAAGAGAGGAGATAATAATGATGGACTCTGGGCTGATGTGGAGGATAGAAAGTCTGGAGGGTGTGCTGAGCTCACTGTGCTTTTTGGTGAAAGCAGATCCTGTGACGGACAGGGGCTCGTATTCATTGTCTGAGTCAGAGAGTGTGTGCGACATCGCAACACCTCAACCAGGGAGGCGCTTCCACGCCTAAAACACACTGTGTTCTCAGTGATGAGCAGGTTGTCATGACATACAAAGGGATCACTGTAGTGACGCTGATCAGGTATCATTCCAAAAAAGAAAATAAAAATGTTATATCAGAAAAGAACTCAGAAAACAAAACGAAGGATTTAAGAAAGTTGCCACAGAAATAAGAAATGTTGTCACTCACTGTTTGAGACTGATAAGGCCCCTGGTGCAGTTGTGCTGCGGGCTGATGATAGGTCCCAGGATGCAGCTGACCTGCGGGTTGCTGGTAGGCTCCCTGGTGTAATGGAGTGGATGCTTGTGTGTAATTTTCATGAGAGGCCTGTGCTGTGGGTTGCTGGTAGGGCTCCTGGTGCAGCTGAGGGTCAGGAGGACTGTAGATCACATGAGCCGAGGAAATGGGCTCTGGAAGCGACTGGTAGGTGCCATTTTGCTGATTGTTTAGGTCATCTAATTGCATGGTAGAGCTCACTCCGCTGTCAGCTGTAATAACAGAGTTAATAAAAGATAATTCACAACGATGCCCTCTGCAGGGAGGACAGACAGGGAGGAAGGACGGGGGGAGGGAGACAGTGGAGTAGCATCTTATTAAAATTCAAAAGCTGGGTGATGATGTCTCATTGATAACTAATAGGTGTTACTCAGATGCTGCAGTCACCTTTTCTTGTTTACATTCACAAATAATTTAACCATTGCAAGTCATAGTCAGTGCCATTTCCTGTTAATGGATGAGAGAATTCTAAGGGCCCTGACACACCAAGCCGATGGTCGACCATTGATCAATGTCAGGATGTTGGTGAGTGTCTATCAACCTAGTTTTTGTGGTGTGTCATGCAGAGTTTGCACTAGTCAAAGAAAAACTGAAGTGAGGAAAGCAAACAATTAGCTAAAGTCAAGAGAGAGCGCGAGAGATTAGATAAGATTATGTTTTCAGCCGTTGAGCTCTTCAGCTGAAACAGCTCATGATTGTGATATCGTGATATCCTTTGATCTGCCAACATCAGGTTGTGTTGCTAATGTGCTAACTGGTTAACCAGCATATTGAATCCGTTCTGTTGGTCTTCTGGTTTCCCTTTATGAATCATGAATACAGACTACCATCATCTACTGCTATGGAGAGTTATTTCCTTTCATGCAGACACAAAACATATGTGCTAGCTGGCTACTGACTGTAGTCTACAGTGTGTTCAAGTGCAACTTCTTGGCTGAGACCAATGACTGTATATGAAATGGACAATGTGTCTTCAATTTCTCCCACTTTACAAAAATGAAGCCAAAATATCCTCGATATGTCTGCTGCCATCTTGTGCTGGTGACGTCATTTGGAGACAGAGCCTGAACAGTTGTTATTTAAGCGGTATTGAGTTCCTGCCCATACATCAATTCAACCTATCGCAAGCAGCGTCATTGATCACGAGCATACCGACTGGCACACACAGCTGTAAATCATGACTTCAAACCTTTTTATAGCATCAAATAAGTATTTAAAACCAAACATTTAGAAAATAACTACCTAAAATGACAGAAACCATTGTGTACTTTGAGATGGCCCATGTCCCATCTGCTAACATGGAGGGGGCAGGGTTTATGACCCATACTGCAGCTGGCCACAGGGGGGCGAGCAAGACATGGGGTGGGTAAGCCTGGCCTAGAGACTTGACTAAACTGGGCTGATGTGGAAAGAGTGTGTATGTGTGTGTGTCCCAGAGATGCACGCTGCTTTGTCTTCATCCTTCAGGAGGAGAGACAAGATGGTGATCAAGATGTTTTGGCTTCACATTTGGAGAGCTGTCACATCATCCATCTTATATCCAGTCTATGGCCGAGACACAGAGGACGCAAGGTGACGCAACAGTCTGGCTCCGTCGCCACTAATTGTTTGATATCGGCTTGGTGTGTCTGGGCCTCAGTAGTAACACTGAGGTTGTATGACACACGATACATTCATGTTATATCCAAATGCAGGTTCTCACATGTGGCAGTCATGGTGACTGGCACGGTGCAGATCAGGGTCTGTTGCTCCCCCTCTTGCTCCTCATAATCTGTCGTAACTAATGTGGGTGCCTGGGGTACAACAGCACCGGGCACTTGCAGTAGGTTCTGCTGCGGCTTCTTCACAGCTACATCACCATTTGCTGACGAGAAAGTCCGCTCCCTCCGCCACTTGATGAGAGCCACGCGGTCCCGGATGGACTTCCCGACTATCTTCACATCACAGTCCAGGAAAAAACCTGATTCCACCTACAGGACAGAGGTAAGATGCTCACTGCAGCTCAGAACGAACCAAATTTGTAATTCAAGCCTTATGTGATCAATCAACAAATTGACATTCTTAGCATGGAAGAGCAAAGATCAACTGATCAGATGCTCTTGTTTCAATCAATACAGTACACTCACTCAAGGATATGATTGCAGATATGATGATGAACCAACTCCCAGTTACAGTACGCTAAATTCAAAGGGCCAAGGATTGTGTTAAAGACAGCTGCATTTTACAAGCTACTTCTGTTTCCAAAAACCTATGAAGTGGAGTGATACTAGTCCATAACTGATATATCGAAAGCACCTTACTGTATTTTCTCTGCTGTACCTTTGTGTATTACTGTGATTATACCACAGCCACTTATCTGAGCCAAAATGTGTTCAATCACCATTCAAAGTTAGTTTTTAGCCACTTTAATCAATGAGAGTTAGACCTGTTTTATAAATGAGTTTACTTGTAATGCAGCACAAAGCAGTGTTGTTGCTATGGTTACCTGCAGCTTAATATTCCTTACGCACTGCATAAGAGCTATTTTTGAAGTGTCAATGGGTTTTAACAGACACAAGCCAGCCAATCAGAAATGGGTATTTTCCAAGGCTATGGCTGAGTAGACAAATGTAGGTGGAAGAACACAAAGTGTGACCTGGCCAGAACCAACAAAAGCCAAGGTCAAAAGAGAGCAGAGACATCCAGACCAGCCTAAAGGAAAAGGAATCAATCCGAGGAACACTTGGTTAAGCCTGGTCTCAGACATCTGACTGATACCAACTTAGTAAGAAATACTAACAATAAAGCTAGCATCAAAGAAAAAGTCACAGTCAACAACTATTGTCTGTGTATATTCAAACAATAAAACAATTCATTGAGTACCTTAAAGTGGAAAAAGACATGTTGTTTGCTTTAGCTTATCATCGTGAGTAATCAACTTTACTTTTATAGCGCCTTTCTAGTCTTCTGTCCACTCAAAGCGCTTTTACACTACATCACATCCACCCATTCACACACACTTTCACACAGGTGGGCCGAGGCTACCACACATTGTGCCACCTGCTACTCAGTAACCATTCACACGCACTCACACACCAAAGGAACAGCCATCGCAAGCAATTTGGGGTTCGGTATCTCGCCAAAGGAGATTGGGCGAGTTACCAAACTCAGAGAGGGTCGTCCAGATTAGTGGACGACCCGCTCTACCTCTGAGCCACAGTATGTAAATGTTGATTGCACAATGTAATGGCTGTAGAATAATGACACCGTCAGCAATTAGATTAGCCCTGTAAACTAGGGCTGCACAATTAATCCTAATATTATCAAAATCACAATATGGCCGAGTGCAATATCCAAATTGCAGCAGCTGCATTTTCCTGGTAAAGCTAAAATATTTCTCAACATAGCATTACAAATGAATCATCAAGGTGCCACAGAGATGCCTCGGCCTTCAAATCTTAATCCAGACATAAGGGATTACGCTTGTTTGGTACAGACCCCAGGAAAAAATCACATCATCATCATTTTTTTGATGTATTTGTTGATGTATTTATTCCACCCAGAAGTCCTGATTGTACAATCATGTTATTCAAATCGGCGTTCATGCTGCACTACATTGTTGTCTACTGTGTGTCTTGATTGTATGATGGTTATATCTGCTATGCAGCTATGTCGCACTATGTGCCCAAAACAAATTATTTCTATGGGGTTTTTTTTTAGTAAAAAATTAATGCAAAAATTATAATTCCAACTAAAGTCATGACCCAAATTGCAATCACAGTATCAATCAAAAATAATTGCAATATTATTTTTTCCGCATGTTGTGCAGCCCTACTAAAAGCTTCACTTTCACTGTGCAATCCTTTCTGCCACTGGGTACAATCTCCCGGGAAAATGAAGGCTTGATTTATGGCACGGAGGAAGAACATCAACCATTGCACAACCAAAACAGGAAGAATCTAACACTTGTGTTTTTCCCAAGTTGCTATCGGTAGCTAATCCTCTGTTACCAAAGTGTACCAATGTAAGATCTTTGCTGTTACTCTCCCCAGTGGCAGAAATGGCAGACGGTTGACAACCAAAGTAACTGTGGAAACTGTGGCAGTTTTTAGGCTCTGAGGAAAACAGAAAGCAATCCGTCTTTGCAACAGTAGTGGCAACTTGGAAAACACTAGATGGAGAGAAGTTGAAAAGTTGCCTCTTTCCACTTTAAAATATTTGTTTACCATTTCTTGGGCAACAACCTCTGGGACCTCGTTCACCAAGTCGAAGGAAAACTCAATGGCACCAGTGTCCTTGTATTTCCCCTTCAGCTTTTTAGTATCCTCAACCCACAGCTTCAGAGCAATGGATGATTTCTTCCCATCATCGTCTTCATTCAGCTCCACCCTCACGCCTGTGTCCTCTGCAAAGAAGGCATGGTTCAGGAGGTCCTTGATGGAGTACCTGCAGGAAATACACAAACACCAGCTACTGCCTTGGGCTAGAGGTCACAATGATAGTAACCTGACCTAATGATGTAAAACACACAAACACACCAAACATGAGACCCAAATACTGGCATTGACGTCACGCTGCAGGAACAAAAACAAAACAGCACCTCTACCTTCATACCAAATGCGTCATGAGCTCTGAGACAAACAGGTCAGATAGGTCCCGCTCCACTTACCTTTCCTCCCATCTGTGGCAGATACATTCACCAATTATTTCCTTAATTTCTGGGTCACTGACTTTGCTGTAGCTGGCAGGTTTCACCCCCTGGAAAACAAACCACCATTAACATGTCTTAAAACTCAGAACAGCAGTACTTAGTGTGCGACTGCACAGTACAGTAAGTACCGTCTGCAAACATTAATTACAGACTCTCCAAAACACACAAGAAGCTACTACTGCCCAAGAGGACTTTTGGGGTGCTAGAACGATTAGCCTGGTGATCATTTGATCCATGAAAAAACTAATAAAATTAGAATTATTATTAATTATTATACTGTAAAACTGTGATTAATAGCCTGGGCTGTTATTTCCTTCAATCACTGAACTCCACTAGGGTTTATTTGGGACAGGCCCTTAATTCATTTTACACAAAACTCTTGCTCAGCAAATATGGGAAATACAATCAAATTGTTTATTTAAAGCAGCATGAATATTACTCATACAAAAATTAGGCTATTGAATATCACAAATCATTCATTTGATCGATCGCTGACAGACAGTGCATCAGAGGGAGAGTTACGATGCGTGCACCCGGCATACCAGCACAACAGCTCTTTATCCTGTTAAAACAATACTCACAACTTGAATTGAAGTTTATGAAAAACCCTTTTAATTTTTCTGATCAGAAACTCTTATGGATTAAATAATAAAAATAATATATATAAATAATCAAGGAATAGACATGTTCGAACTTAATGACCCTTCAGAGGTAGGGAGTCTTTCCGCCTCTCTTGTGAATCTGAATAAATCATACTTTTGTGCTCACGGTTTCAGTTAGATGAACTTTATGACTGAATTGTAGAGAATCTAACCAAGCTAAATATGTGTAGCATGTCTATACTGACAAAAATTTAAGCATTTATATTTGTTATGTGCAGTTCAAGCAGTTAACTAATGTTAGTTCAAGCAAGTAGCTGACGACTCATTGGGCTTCAAGAGGTTTTTTATCCAAAGAACCTCTATAAATGGCAACCAGACCCAGCATCTAATTTAGACCTGTATTTATTTGTCAGAATGTGTAGCCATACCCAGCTAGTAAAAGAGACACAGTGTTTAATTGGAACTCAGCTTTTAAGTTAAGTTGGGTCATTGTGGGAGTCATTTATAAAGTAAAAATACAAAATATTTGCATTTAATTTAAAAAATTAAAAAAAAAAAACGTTTTCTTCTTAAAAATGAAAAGTTGAACTCCAAAGAAATAAAACACACCCTTCTCCAGTATAATGCAGTGACAGCCTTACTTCTCTGGTATGACCAGACAGTAGCTTGTGTGTCCTGTGTAAGCAAACTATAAACAAATATTGTTATGCAAAGAATATTTCTGAGTTACACTGAAAACACATGGAGCTGTGGCTCACAGCAGTCATTACATTTTTCATCAACTTTTCATGTGTTCATGTGTTTCTGGTTGGAAGAAATTCTCTGTTACAAAGGTCAACATATCACAGGATTCTGTTTATTTATTGGCCTAAAGGTTTTCACTGGCTACAATTTGCCACCAAAACTTAAGCTATCCCCAGGTTTTGCTTTGGCTGCACTTTGCCGTAGAATCAAATAGCTGCAGCTCACTGTGGTCGGAGCGCACGCCGCAGCTTCCAATAGACATTGCATGGCAGCTTGCCGCAGGCCGCACATAGTCAGTTTGCTAGCTTACATACAAGATTTGAAGACTTGCTGTTACTTTGGTTAAATGTGGTGGGCAGGTGTCATCAGTTTTAACATTTTAAAGTCTGTGTGGTCAGTCCGTCTTTTGAAAATACATATTTGATTAATTGATAGTTAAAATAATCATTAGTTAACTGCACATACCTCCTAGCTCCACACACCATAGCTGATTTATTTTGTTACTACTCAAAACAGTTGCAACAGCAATAAGTTTAACAGCTTTAAATGTGAACTCACACTGGTGACTTTGCGGTAGATCTGAGCCGCGTTTTGACACTCAGAGTAGGGATATTCTGAGGTGGCCATCTCCAGCATGCACATCCCAAACGCGTAGACATCCACAGCCTCGTCATAGTGCTCCTCGTACATCTCTGGGGCCATGAACTCTGGAGTGCCTGGAGAATTAATGTAAGAGAGGAAGATAAATTATAAAGTCATATGCAGTTATCAGAGTGTCATTGTATTTCAGTGGGATCAATACCAACGTCAAGGACTGAAACCCAACACGGCTGCTTAATCGTGGCTCCAAGAATTTAGTGATCACTCAAATGACAGGCAGAAAAGAAATGGTTCAAAAGTAAAAAACGCAAATGTCAGATGTTCTGTGCGTCTTTAACACAATAATATGATGTTACTCTTTGAGCACTAAACTACTTCGACCAAACTTTGGAGGGCTTAAAGGGTAACTTAAGTATTTTTTCAACCTGGACACCTTTTTTATCATGTTTCTGTGCCCAAGTAACTACTGGCAACAACAGTTTTTGAAACTGGTCCAGTAATGAAAGAGGCTGCTACAGCTGGCAGCAGCGAAACAGGCTGCAATGTAACCACTGGGGGCAATTGTGCATTGTCAGTTTACATCCACTTAAAGTTTGTTTTTGCCACTAACAGGCTCAGATCATTATTTTAAGTGTCTGACATTATGGAAAGCATTCCTATAGAGACAGACCTTTTTATTTCAGAGTAAGATTTTTGTTTAACCAGAAACAGCCTTGAAATCACCATCGCAAAACCCACCAGACTCCATTCAAATAAACAGTAATTTTATCATTGTAAGACACACTTCATTCAAAGTCCACAAAAACAAAATAAAATCACAAAAGCTGTCTTGGTTCGTCTCTCCACTTTTCCAACAATAAGCAACTCTGGTTTGGGTTGAAATAAAACCTTATTCACCCAGTTAGATGTGGAAATATGCTGGCTCTATTCACACTAAAATTGCTGCTTATTTAAATGGAGTCTGGTGAGTTTGGCAATGGCAATTTCAGGGCTGTTTCGGGTCAAACAAAAAGGATCTGACGCTTTAACACAAAGGTCTGTCATTGAGGGTGCACAATTGCCTCAAGTAATTACACTGCAGCCTGTCAGTGCTGGACCAGTTTCAAAAACTGTTGCTCCCATTAGACACAAATAGGTGGGAAAACAAGGTCCGAGTTGAAAAATCCTGAAGTTACTCTTTAAAGTGGACACTCGTTCTTCTCAATAAGATCAGACACACTGTAAAAATATAAGCAACTGGTAGGACTGTGCAACTGGAAGGATCTAGTCTTTTGTAAAACAACATATAGGCTTGTATTTTCATAAAATGTGAACTGGTATCATTTAAAACAGCCTATGGAAGAACTGCTTTTGAAACACATAACACACAAAACATGATTTAGACTTTAAAGCAGCTACAATCAATCATCTCTCTCATCAGTGTTGTTTTTGGCCACAGCTGTTTTGACTGAAAAAGGTCTGAAAACACACTGTACTCTACCTGTCAACCACCAGACAGTAGACAGACAAAGTTAGCGACTGTAGCATTTGGGAGCTAAAGGGCCAGATAAATCCTGTGGGAGTTGGTGGAGACCAAAACAGAGCTAAAAGGATAGTGAATATTGGTCTCACATTCATTAGGTTACCAGAGTCCAGATTTTAAATCAATGCTAATGTTGCTCCACATCAGCAAGTCTAAAAACTTAAACCATGAAAATGTGCACATGGAAGAAGTTTGCCCAGTCTGCCAGAAAGCCCTTCCTAGCAGAAACCAAACCATGATTTTTTTTTTCTAACCTGAAAGGTATACTACGCAGAAATAGTTGGTTATTGTTTGTAAACAGCATCCCTAGCAAAAGCCAACCCCTGTCTAAGGCTCAGCAAAGGATGTTTTTCCTGTGGCAGCTGACAAAGACAATGATGGTGCAATTCCACACTGCCATCATTGAATCCATCCTCACCTCCTCCGTCACTACCTGGTACGCTGCTGCCACCGCAGAAGACAAAAGGCAGAATGCATCCTGTCCTCCGCTTTGCTGACAAGGTGATTGGCTGCAATCTTTTGTCTCATCAGGAACTATACAAGACCCTGAATGTGGCGGACAATATTGTGGCCAACCAACCAGGAGGCTGCGGTCCATCAGGACAAAAACCTCACGCTACAAGAACAGTTTCTTCCTGACTGCAGTGGACCCCCACTGACATGCACTCTTACAACCCCTGCCATCTATATGTGTTACATTTAAGCACATCTTGGACTATTATCTTTGCACATTTGCATATCTGCTCTACTGTGAACTAATGCACATCACCAGCTTAATATTTTTGCAGATCCTGCACAAAACTGAACATCTTTTTTTAATCCCTGAAACAAATATATAGCACATATTTGTTATGTTACGAACTTTTTAAAAATATCTTGGCATTGTTCACTATAATTTTTCTATTCTATATTTAAGTTCTTGGGAGTTGCAGTACTTTTATTGTATGTTTAATGTATTCATCAAAAACCAAAGCAAATGCATTGTAAGTGAAAACCTACTTGGCAATAATTCCTTTTCTGATTGTGATTTCCACTCTGCGTTTTGCCTCACTATGTTTGCATTTTTCAGCACTGTGTCTGTTATTTTCACACCCTCCTCTTGGATGTGTGCTGCTAACAGTCTAGCACCTGGTCGCCACCTTTATATAAAGTCCCAACCTCACCTGTGCGCTGTGCCCAGGAACGTCTGGAACACAGAATTAATAATAAGAAAATACAGGCAGAGGGCAGAGTCTTGTGCAGATACATACACCACCATATACTTCTAGTGGGTTATAAATGATGATGGAGGGGGATTACTTCTGTATGAGTCTATAGGTTGTTCTTTTCGGACAGAAAGCCCTCTTGACAAACTTCTCCCAACAGCTGTTTGAGTCTCAAGTCTTGTGTGTGTTGCAGGTTTAAAATAAACACTCTGATCGTCACATTTCAATAAACACACAGTAACTGATAACTAACCAATAACACTTTTAGCAAAGGAGGCCCTCTTCAGTGTTGCCAGGCCCAGGTCTCCAATCTTGACCGAGCCTGTGGGCCCAGTGATGAAGATGTTGTCACACTTGAGATCTCTGTGGATGATTGGAGGAGTCCTTGTGTGGAGGAAGTGGAGGCCTTTGAGAATCTGCCTGCACCAGCTCCTCAAAACTTTCGGCTTCATCACCTTAAACCGCTTCAGATACCTGAGGGAGGATAGAGACATTCCAGCTGTCAGAGACATTGCTTTTTCAGTAATTGGTAAAAGACATATTGACAATCAAGGTCCGTCCCTATGAGTCACTGTGTTGATGAAATGTTTTCAATGAGCTGTTCCTCTGTTGCGAAGCATTATTGCTTTCATTAAGCATCAGCTGCAAACACACAGTCAATATTAATCTGGTGACTGTGCTGTTCTCAACTAATCTCCTTATTTTAACTGCCTGAAAACTTTTTGTCATTATGTTAATTAATTAAGTGTTCAGCTGAAAAATAATGCTAAAATCACGTTTCTTGTTTTTTAAAAAACAAGAACTATATATTCCAATGTCAGTCTCTACAGTCTGGCATTAGATTGACTGTATTGGTGTCATTCAATTTGTATGAAACTTGATACACATGCTGTAGACAGTCTAATGGTCCTTACTGTAAGGTTCTTTTAAACTGACTGAAAGAAGAAGCAATAAGAGACTAATATTTGTATCTTATGATCAGTGATTTACTGTTGAGTATGAGGTTGAAAGATAGGCTAAAATGAGGAACATTCCAAGACAACTCAAACATACTAATAAAGAGTATTATAGAGGCTGTATTTCATATTGACTCTCACGTTTTTAGTGTCCCTGAGGTCATTAGCTCCGTCACCAGAACGATGCACTTCTTCCCTTTAACCGGTGATTCCCAGAAGTCATAAAACCGCACGATGTTGGGATGCTGAAGAGCCTTTAACATCTCTGCCTCCTCTTTGAACCTCTGTCTCTCAGCTTTGGACAGTTTCCGCTCCTGGGGAAAATCGAAGAAAGAAAGAACATTAATTTTTAAAAATGAGAAATAATGAATTCCACATTCATCCTCTTATTATTTTTCAGTATTCTGCAGCCTTATCAGAGGAGAAGCTCAGAGGTCAATTTGTCCAAATCTAACAAGTCATTGTCAGTTTTTTCTTTTATCACGCTGTATGGAAGAGATACAAGCCATTTTCAGCCTTCTTTAAACAGTCTGGCGTTACTTCAGGAGTGGAGCTGTGTTAGAGCTGCCTGTGGCTCATGTTTGGAGTGAACACAACCTTGGCATTTTGAGTGAGTAAACATGGGGGTCTGAACTGTTTACTCTTGTTTTAATCACTGCTGTAAAACACACAGCAACAAAACACCTCATAACGATGACTGGAATCCTGACTACGTTTCCAGAGAAAGTAAAATCCTTATTTAATCTGATGTTGTCATACAGAGACAGACACATCTGTCATGACAGATAAACAAAAGATTAAACTGCATTTTTTAATCAGTAAATGTCAAATGTGCTGTTAGAAAAAAATGGAACAAAAAAAGACCATTAAGACTTTATTACGGCAGGCTGGAGATTATTATTTTCTATCACAATGTCGATCTTTGATGGAAATACTGTGTGCAATTCTTCAGCGTTTCAATCGTACATCTTTGGGTACACCAGCCAGAGTGAATCCATGTATTCTGGATCAATATTTTGGCCCCTGCCTTCCCTGAACTGTTGTATAAATAGTAAAACAGCTGACAGTGAACATCCTCTACATTTGTTTCTCTCCAGTCAGCACGGCAGATAAGGGCCGATGGCCTCAGCCACGACAAATGCTGAATGACCTCTGGATTTTCTCTACGGCAGTCTCAGTACACACGTTTTAATGGTGACGATGAGGGTGTAGTTAGAGTTTTAACTGTCTGTGAGGCACAATAATCTCCTGTACATCACTCGGCATTGATTATTGATTGATGCTGGGGAATTGGATTTCATTCACAGCCCATATAGTGACCTAAACGGTGTGCAGCAGCCTCATGCGGCTTAGTTTACGAGCAGCGTCGTGAAGGATACGCCTCCTGTCTTTATCTGCCGTCATGACGCTGATCCTGTCTGAGAAGAAATATATAACACGTTGTCTCATCTCTCTGTTCATATTGTCCGATTTCACAGGTAGTTTGCGAACAGATTATTTATGATTCTTTGCTGAGATAGGATCTGAGCAGGGTGTGGCACTTACAACACAGAATCTGCTTCATGCAGTGCTTTGCACAATAATTTTTTTAAATTATCAATATATTTACAGCACTGGCATTTGTATCTAATGGAGTGTGGAGACAGTGTGGAGAAGACACAATGCTTCAATTAATATGATGTAGACCTCTGGTTATGCAGCATATCAAATACTACAAGTGCTACTCGCTGTCCTGAGCTGAACCCACCCTCTCCCTCTCTCCTCTCTTTCTGTCTTGGTGCAGAGGGCTGCATCAGCAGGATTCACTCTCCAGACACATCTGTGTGTGTTATACACCACAGGGGTATAAATCCATGTTTAGTGTTCATTACGAAGCCATCAAATAAGACAAATACTGTCCGACAGCGAGACACAGATCTCAAAGAGGGAGAGCGTTTTGGCATTTTTACTAAGTCACATTGCATAAATTGCTAATTTCTGGTAAACAACTTGCTCAGCAGATGTTTGATCGTCATTTAGTGGATAAATAAGTAACAAGACTAGCGGCCTGGTTTGCTCGACACCAGGCTCAGGCTACCCTCCAAATCTGATTTGTAAATCCGTCTGTGAGCATCTATGTTTTCTGCTGTCTCACTCTTACACACACACTGTACACAGTCTGTAAAGGCACACTGGCTTTTTGTGAGCGAGGCACAGAAGGCCTCACCACCGGGGACAGAACGGTTGCATCATCACTAGAGCTCCCCTAAGAACCTGCTCAAACACAAGTACATGAACATTTACACTTACTGTATGAATCATCATGCCTTTCCTGAGACATAAAAGAGTGCCCTTCCTCTTGAAACTTTAGTTAATAAGTGTTTAAGAATACCAGCATCTCTTTCTTCACAAATTACAAGATCAGATTTTAATTCGAATATGCCAAATCAAATACATAACTAAAACAAGTACATAAACAAGAATAGCCAGCAAACATATTCAGAAAAAAGCATATATAATATGTCTGATAAGGAGTAAGAAGTGAATCAGGTGCATAATGACGGGCTCCCTGAGGAAATTTTGCATGATGTGGGATCCCATTTTCGACTTCGTACGAGAGCTGGACTTTCCACATATTCCTGAGTGATTGATCATCTATTTTACAGACATTAAATTGTGATGTGACAGGAAGTTGTCCGACCATTATACTATGTTTTAGTATTTAGTGTTATTTGTATCATCATACACACATTTCCAAATATTTTTCTGTTTTAATTTTATTACTATGTTGTTTTGTTCTTTGTCTTGCTCTGGGCACTGATTTGGTTTGGAGTATTTGTCTTGTCTTAGTCCCGTCTTGGTTTTTTATTGTTCTTATTTTATTTACTTTTTTGTTGTGTCACTGTTGGATTGACCAAATATTACTGTGTTTTCTATCTGCTCTATTTGGAACATTTCAAGAAACAGATTTAATATTTAATCAATAACATTATTATTAAACAGGAAATACTGGAAAAAACTGTAGGAAAACTTTAAATCCCTGATGATGATGGGAAAACTGAAGTGAGTGTTTTACTCCTCTACGAGCAACACTGAGTATTACTCAACCTTGTGTTATTAAAATCGAGGTGCAAAAGCAGAGAACTGAGGCTGAAATGTGGGATGTAACAGGAGATAATTCATTATCTCGTCACAATCAATTGGATGCTCACTTTGTTGATTCCCGCAACGATTGATTGAAGTTTCACGTCCAAACGAGCCTCATTACATGTATATTACACTGCGTACATTATCAAAACAGAGAACTTCAGTTTCATCCTTAGCCCCGGTGGAATCTGTTGTTGCCAACACGAGCTGTGAGATAAGCACAACATAATTGTGATTTAATTCCACGTCTGACCCTGATTGAGGTGGTCTGCGATTTGTATTACTTATTCCCTCGGGCCTGACAGGGTGAACTTGGATTCTGCAAGAGTGGGAGGAAAAAAAAAAAGAAGCATCGGCACTGTTCGTTCTGAGGCCGCACTAAATCTATAAAATCCTGCTGCAGAGCTGCGCCTCAAAGTCACAAACCTTATTCTCACTGTGATCATTTAAAGCAAATTAGAGGTTCAGAAAAAGATGTGGAGGTGCTGACTCAGCCTGAACCAGCTTGTTTTTTTTGGGCCTTAAAAACGTTGTAAACCCAATAGACAAATACCTGCCAGTGCACTGACTGAAATAAAGCTGATAATGAAAGTTTGGTAAAAATGTTCATCATGTCTAGGAATCTAATACCTACTCCACGTCTCTGTCTACTTGGGAACATTAATGTTGGTGGTTGGTATCAAAGGAAACTCTGTGATCTTGCATTTATTGCTGCAACAAAAAATACTGCTGTCGGCTGGAAGGCCTCTTACCCTCCGACACCGTCTCAGTGGACGTCTGAGATGTCAAGTTATGTCCCCCTTTGTTATTTATTTTATAAAATCAAAGGAAGGGTGGACATGTATGATAAAATATGAACTTCACTGATTTCCTGTAAAATTGCTGATTTGGTGATCTGTCATTACTGAGTGAACGTTTGGTGTCCTTATGGAGTGACCTCATACTATGTATTGTTTGTGAAGTTCTCTTATTTGAGGACCCATTTCCTCTTCGATCATCTTAATTTCCAATTGTAATATTTATTCTTTTTTGTGTGTTTAATCTGTAGCTGTACTCTTAGCATTGGTTTATCTTGTCCGGTCTGCTTCAGTGTATTCCATGTACAGATAAGAAGTGAACATTAATTGTTAAAACAGGAGGTTCATTCTTGTTTCAAGTTAGCTTGGTTATTTTATTGTACGTTTTTGTTAATGTGAAAATGCAACAATTGTATGTGGACTTCTATTGTATATTATATGAGTGTAAAGTATTGTATTTGATGTTGTCAAACGTTAAAAATATTGTGGATAGAAAAGTTTGGTAAAATGTTTGCTGGAAAAAGAAGCATAATAAAACTGTTTTTGACTTCATAGTTTGTTAAGAAAATACTTAGGGAACTACAATAAACATGTCTTTACAGGAATCTATAAATTCATAAGACAATGGCAACTGTAAAGGGACAGCAAAGACATCATCTGTTGAAACAGAAGCTCCTATGTAACCAAGGAAATTATGTTTTTCCTCACATATCAGAAACTTCTGTTTTTTTAATTTGAGTCTGCACATGTGTCCACAGTTAAAAACCAGGTGACCATGCTTCTGTTTTATTAGCCTATATGCATAACCATGTCCTGTCAGTTATTCGCTCTGGACGGACTGTTAAAGCTTAGCACGTTTTGAGCCCTGAAAGGGCAACCGCTGTCTACAGGTCTGTCTGCAGGCTAATCTGTATCACATGGACGCCATCTAAACTGATTACCACATACTCAGATGAGTAATACAGTGAGCTGTCACTGCTGTGAGAGTTTATAATAGCTCTGTGCTAAGATTCTAATTAAACAGTGGTCAAAATAACAATTAAAGTGTCCACAGGTTACCTGCCGACACTGTGCAGTATGGCAGTGGGCAATTCAGTTAATTCAAGAAAGTGTACAGAGGAAAAGGAAAATACAGACATCTTGTTAATGTGTGACACAGAACTAAATGATGGTGATGGAAACATGTAGGCTGAGTGTTACGAGAGGGGAAGCTGGTGCAAAAAGTATAAAGCTACAAGACAGACAGTCGCCTCCTCCTCAGTCTGCACTGTAACAATACTCTGAAGGATAGTTTTCTTCAGTTCCCCAGTGAGGACAAATATTTCAATGATGGCTCATTAACAGACACATTATGGAAAATAGAACGCGGTATCTCATCTGGGTGCTGTATGCCGCAACACTTCTGCAATATAGGATTATAAAAACAGTGGAACATGTTGATGAAGAGCCCATTAACAATAAGAAAGTAGCACTGATGACTGGTTCGTCAGTTTTACTCTGCTCCTGAACTCACTGAACCTGAGAGATGAAGAACCAAAGACAGGAAGTGACCTCAATAATAATAATCAATATTCACTCTGGATGTTTAGACGCCTGTGAGATGGTAATGTCAGTGTAAACGACCCTTCATTAACAATTTACTACCTGAGAGACCCCTGCCTGCAAGTTTGTTGGGATCTAGATCTCAAGTCAGATGATCAGAAATAAAATGCACATATCTCACTGTTTCAACTTCAAATTAATGACGTTACAGTCTAATTAAACTAGTCCTTTGTTTTTCTGGGGAAACACGTCAGAAAGACCCCTGGGTGCCCTCTGGAACCTGTGCACAAGACTGCACACTGACAGGGGACTAATTTTTTGGGCTTTTTTTTTAAAAACAGATTAACTACACACATAGATATAGATCTCAGATAATAAGTTATTGGTTGATTGACTTGGATGATCAATGAACCCACCTGAAGTTCACACCATGCCACTTCAACCCAGGTGTCGGTGTCAAGACCTTTATAGACGGTCTTGAAGGACCCTCTGCCGAGCTCAATGTCAAACTTGAGGAAACGCCCCCCTGGTGAAGTGGACACAGCCTTCATCCCGGGCTCCTCTTCATTCTCGTCACTTCCTGCTTTACCTGTGACATCTGAGGGCGTAACCTCTACCTTTGGCTCGGCTTCCCTCTTGTCTCCTTTCACCTCCTCAGCGCTCACACTCTCTGTAACGCTGTCCTTCAGCCCCACCTGGCTCTCTGTGTCCGAGGTCTCATTGAGGCCCAGGCGGGCTCCGTGCAGAACCCGGGTCCGACTCCGATCAACGATGGTCCGCAGGTCAATGTGTGGCACCGGGCTGCTGTTGACACACTCCGGTGTGTCCACCGGCTGCTGCTCGTCGGTGTCTGACACCCACAAACTCCGCCGGATGAACCTCTGGCGCACCAGCGCCGGGTAGTCTGTGGACGGGTACGCGCTGGGGTCACTCGCTCCTCGCAGAGCTGCGATGTGGATGTTGACATTGTGGTCTGTCCCATTCTGGTAAACAGGCCTACGGGCATTTGCATTAATGTCCGAGTCTAAATTAGGTGCTGAGGAAAACGTGGATCCAAGTGGCGGATCTTTGCTCGACTGATCCGCCGAATCCATCCCCGGTAAATTGTTAAGCGCTTACCGGCGACATTGTGCAGGGAGGATGATGCTCCTCTTCCGGCGGTGGGAGTTTGCTGCCTACCTGCAACACTCGCGTGCAGTGACGCAGTTCGCCAGCTAGGATGTATGTGGCCTTTGTGCCTTGAATTTGTTTAGGACACAGAACACCCCCACAAAATGTCCAGCTCGGAGGATGCGCGCATTGCTCCCTGCCACCTCACGCCCCGGTCCACCTTGCTGCAATACAGCGCAGAGCTATTCAACTTAAGCCTGATGTCATTGCCAGTTCAACCTATGAGCTCATGATAACAGTTCCCTCCACATTGCATAAGGTGCCCGCTCCAGCGCAAACTATAGGCTATAAATGTGATTTGCTCCGCAGACAGATCGGTGGCCTACAGCGGACAGGCCAGGATGTTTAGGCTGTGGCGCTCACTAATCCCACCAAAGACACATCACGGGACGAGCAAGTGCGCAGCTGTCATCCCCTGTGAAGACTCCTCCACCCGCCGGGCTCTGCTTCATGCAAATAACTAGCAGGTGTTCCGGGTGAAAATCTGAATAAGTTCCGAGAAGTGTGACCTCAGCGTCTCTGCATTGTTCCTGTAACTATTCTGTACTTTTTCCCTGTCCGCGGCGGTGCTGTCCTGGAGGATGAACACAGGCGCTTATCAGATAATGCTCACTGCGGCACAGTTTCCCTCAGGTTGGACCGGGCAGCAGCTCTCAGCGCAGCTGTCGTCCAGCTGATACGACTGTTGTCTTCTTATATTTCATCTCTTTCAGGCTCGGGGAAACTAGAATATTTCACGGCACAACCCACGCCCCTAGCAACAACACGTATCCAATACCTCTGCACGCTTTTAGGCGGCTCCCTCAGCCTCCCGTGACACGGGCTGTGTGGACCACACCACCATCCGCCCTCATCGTGACGCGCTAAGCTTCCAATGGGAAGATGTCTTTCAAAGCCTACCAACCAAAAGGGACGCTGCTAGGAATTATGGGCCACCGGATAAGACGCACCGGACCCCATCTTAATATTATACTCATCCACATGGAGCCTGTGCAGGGAGGCTGATGATCACAGTAGTTGATAACAATATAACATGCGCTAACAAGTCATAAAACACACCACAGTGTTATCAATCAGTCAGAGATTTTGAATTATTCCAGAATTACATATTGCCTTTTTCTGGGCTATCCTTTTATGCTATTATATTACAGAGTATTATATTATATTATATTAAATTATATGTTATCTTATCTTATCTTATCTTATGTAGATAGAAAAGATTCAGATTCCTTTTAATTGTGATTTTTTTATGATGAAACAAAAATGTTTCATCATAAAAAATGACAATAAAAAGGAATATAAATCTGAATCTTATATATAATTTTATCATATCTTATCTTATGCTATGCTATGTTATCTTGTGCTATGCTATCTTATGCTATGCTATGTTATGTTATATTATGCTATGCTATGCTATGCAATGTTATGTTATCTTGTGCTGTGCTATGTTATCTTATGCTATGCTGTGCTATGCTATGTTATGTTATCTTATGCTATGCTATGCTATTTTATGTTATGTTGTTATGTTATGTTATCTTTTGCTATGCTATGTTATGTTTTGTTCCATTATGCCACATTATGTTACATTATATTATCTGATGTTTTGTTACATTACGTTACGTTACATTGCGTTGCGTTGCCTTATTTTATCTTATCTTATTTTATCTCATCTTATGCTATGCTATGCTATACTATGTTTTCTTATCTTATGCTATGCTGTGTTATGTTATGGTATCTGATGTTATATTATGTTATGTTATGTTATCTTATGCTATGCTATGTTATGCTATGTTATGTTTCGTTATGTTACCTTATGTTATATTATCTGATTTTATGTTACGTTACATTACGTTACGTTACGTTACATTACGTTACCTTATCTTGTGCTGTGCTATGCTGTTATCTTGTTTTATGCTATGCTATGCTATAGTATGCTATCTTATGCTATGCTATCCTATGCTATGCTGTGCTATGTTATGTTATGTTATGTCATCTTGTGTTATCTTATCTTATGCTATGCTATGCTATGTTAGCCATCATTGTTACACACATGCATGTCCACTGTAGACAACATAACACCAAGGTAACAGACAGCCAAAGAACAGGGAGAACATGGCAAAAAAAAATGGATGATATTTTTAATGAACAGTAAGGTTACATTAATGATGTAATGAATGAAGGACTGACCTGATAAATGGAGTTAACTATTTGAAACGAGTGTCTCATTTTACCACCAGGTGTCCCATCTTACCTGAACATGTCATCGGTGTGAGGTAGAGGTTCTCGATGGGTTTAAAGCTCCAAAGTTTAAAAATATTTTACTTGGTGACATATTTTCTTTATCGAAATACAACAGAGATACATAACAAGTTTTACATATAACACTTAAAGTAGTTTTTAGAATTTTAGGTGGTTTTCCCAGGTAATCTACCTGACTCCAACCTGTTACATTATATTGTGTTATATATATTTAATAATTTTATATTACTTATAACATCACTTAGCCTACTTTCTTGAACCCCTACAGACTTTTGCAGTGATGGAAGTGGCTACATATTATGTGCACCTATATACTACATGACTCCATGTGAGTCACCATATAAAATAAATCATTCAAATCTTACTATTACAAGGAAAACTTCAATAAAAGTCTGTTTAAAAACAGGGGAACAATAAGACTGCTACCTATTCTAATGCTTTTATTTGTGTGTAACATAAAACAGTTTGATTAGGTGTTAATATAGGCCATGAATTAATTCAAACACAGAAGCTTTGTCTGACATTTTATTTGTTTTTCTGTTGATATAACACAGAAGACGTTTGTTATATAATTATAATGTCTAATACTAATGAGAACTTTTTCTCCTAGCATGATTAATACAACAAAGAAAAGTGATTATTAAGTCTAGTTAATAGGCTATATTGGTAGAGCAGCTGGACTATCACTGACAAATTTTCTCATTTAAAGGAGCATTTTGTAAAAATTTAAGGGGATCTAGTGGTGTCTAACAGTGAGGACTGAAGATTCCAGACAGCTAAGACTTCTCCTGGTTGTAATTCCTTCAGTGTTCATTATTCAATAGGTTTTTACTGGCAGCTGAATCATCCACAGAAGTCTCCTCCTCTCCAAAACAAACAGACCAGGTGATTAAAACCAATAAAAACACAGTTTCACATACAAAAAAAAAAAAAAAAAGCTGTACGGTTCTGAATTGGTGGGTGGTTAAAACAGACATGAGAGTGGAAGCCTTTCTCGGTGGATGCCTCAGATGAATTTGCCAGATCCTCTGGCCAAACAAAATCTCCAACCTTTAACTGAAAACAGGTAGCTGGAGCATCACCATGGAAATCACACACAGACATTTGAGATGGCTAGGCCATGTGCTAAGAATGGAACAGAGCTGGATCACAAGAGTCTACTTAAGATGGACACCACCGGCAAAAGAAAACCTAGAAGGTCCAAAACCACCTGCTGCAGAACTGTGACAATGGAGCTGGAAAAGATGAACCTGTCATAGGGAGAGGCGCAACATGCTGCCAAGGATCGAATCCACTGGAAAGAGCTCAGTGAAGCCGTATGTCTCATAGGGGATGAAGAGGAGTAAGTATGTAGAAAAATAAATGAATAGATAAAACTGCTAACCACAGTCAGTGTAAAAATGCAGAAACATGAATGGCCCTATCTAGAGTCAGTGTTTGGTTTGTCCTTTCACTAAAGAAACTTACATTAAATTCCATTTCTGCCAATATATCCCACTATATCTTACACACTGGACCTTTAAAGTTGAGTTTAATGAGTAACATAATGCTATACTGTAGAGTGAGGTAGCTATTCACCTTTTAAAGGTTGTCCATGTTGTGCAGCTTTGCATCATCCTTACAGATGTACTTGAAATACATTTAAAAAATACATGTGGGATACATAAAGCTGCTGTTTTAACATTCTAACAAACAGAAAAGTCAGAGGTGGAGGTGATGGGGCATTATTGTTATTGTGTACTTGTTTTAGGCTTGACAAATTTATCATAATTGTTTTTATTGGTTTGCTTTAAACCACAGAATCATAAAATTTAAAGTGAGGGAAACAAGGTACTGAATGAAGAGGCTGAAATTGACACTTAAGGCCTCAAAAGTTTCTTTCTCCACGGGGATCAACCTCCAGGGACAGATTTGTATTTATGGGGTTGAGCTTGTGCGACAAACCTGCCCAGATCTCCAGGGAAACAGAGGAAATAATAGAAACCAGTCGGTGGGTGCGGTCAGGCCTTGGGGGTGGGGGCAGTTTACAATGTGAAGCCATGAGTGTGACAATTGGTGTCTGCACATCCTATTCACTGTGTCTCATTTCCTGTTGACACACATGACTGCACGTGTTTGACCGGATAAGAATTTTCAGTCTAGACTTCGACTTTGCTGCTGTTACCTCACTTTGTCAGCTTCACTCAGTATATACATAATCTGACAAGATATGACTGTGGGAGTGAAACAGATAATTATAGTAATATCTATACCATTATCACTCATACAAGTATCATACAGAAATAAAATAAACTGGTATAACATTCCTTAATCTCTCATGGTTTTCAAGTAAGACATTCCTTGAGTTGTAATTGGTGTAAAGATCATAATCATGCGAGCATTCACTAGAACGGACCCTACAATATTCCCCATGTTGTGACGAATACATTTATTTACTTTGTTCCACTAAATCCAATTCTTTTTGGTGTTACTCAAGAGTGGATTGAAAACCAGGCCAAGTGGTCAACTCCTGGGTGATCCCCAGGGCCCTGTAGGAGTTAGGCTGTCTATGTACCCATTACTTTTTTAGTGCTTTTTTAGAAAAATATGAATTCAGATTCAGAATACTTTACTGATCCCTGGAGGTAAATTTGGAGATGTTACAGTTGCTCTTATACTACATAGAGAAACTATAAGAAAACAGAAGCAGAATAAGGAGTATGCAAGAGCATGCCTTATTTTAAAACTCAATTTAACATATTTATCTTTGCACCTCTTGTCTGCACTTTTGCTATTTTGATGGTTTTTTTCCCCACAATATTTTTATTGAGGTTTTAGCAACATGAAATACAGCCATTTACATTCAATGTATGCCAACAATGTGCTGCATTAAAACAGAACAAAACAACAGACAAAACAAAATCAAAACAAAGAGTAGGGCTGCAACCCAAGATTACTTTCTTGGTCCATCAGTCCTGTTGATATGCTTCCTGATGATTACTCAGCCGATCAATCCCCTAAATGTCCGAATTCCATCTGGCCCATTGTCACAAAGGACTGAGCAACCAGAAAATATTCAGATTCCAGAAATTAGGACTACAGAACCTCGACCTTTTCAAGAAAGTAGTACTCAGACTACTCTTTTCTGTATCCTGTATTATGTTTTTTTTATTGCTCTTGAATTGTATTTGTGTATGAAATTTGCTATACACATAAAGCTACCTTGCCTTGCCTAATATTCTGCATTTGTTATTTCAGATTATATTAAGTTGACACGGTGCCTCTCCTTAAAAAAGGAGTTTAATCAAGTTTAATCAAATTAAACTACCATTTAGTTGTACTTCCATAGTTATGCCTCCAGCATGCAATACCGCCTTACTCCACAGGGTGGCAGTAAAGGGTCGTGTTGCCTTCACTGTCTGTCATTAGCTGTAAGAACAAGAAGTCCTCGGCTCATCCACATTACATCAGGGTTTCAGTTCTACTGTGGGAAATAACCCCATCATTACCCTGTGACTGGGCCGCCCGGTTCCTACTGAACTACCAGCCCACCGCTCTGTGAGAGGGCGGTCGTCCCCATGTTGGAGGGGCGGTAGCCTGCAGCTTTTCTCCCCTCTTGTCGTCACGGCAGCTTTTTTTATTCAGTCAGTGCCTGTGAGCCCGCCGGCTGGTTGGACCACCGACTCCTCTGAAGCCCACACTTGAAATAAAGCAACCTAATCTGGATATTACGCGGTTATTACCAAGATGGCTACGGACAACTTTGAAATGAACGGTGATGCTGACCGGAACGGCGAAGCGGAGGTAAGTTAAAGCGGCTCTGGTGCCCGTGACAAAGGGCAGCTTCATGGTCAGTTATGTCCACTAATGTCCCGGTCAGGCTTTGTCAGAGCTTAATCCTTTCAGAAACATGTCAAAGTGTGAGATAACCGTCGGGTAATGTTACGCTGAATGTTTATCCCTGCTTGGTCTTCATCCAACTGTCCCATCATCCATCCATCTCAACGCTGTTTGATGTTAGCCAACTGAACAAGTGTCACTATGACTGTTAAAAGGTCGTTAAGCTAATGTCAAAGGTTAACGGATTAGCTCTGATTTCAAGGCTAATTTATACCTTTAAACTAGTTTACAAACTTGTGCTGGGCCCAGTCTGTCTCTGTCCTGCTGCTGGCATCTACTGAGGCTCAGTTTACACTAATGATAGACGAGACAGCAGACGATGGAGGGTGAGTTGGTACAAACATCTCTCTGTAGAGGAATCCAGGTGGGTCAGCTCAGCTCAGCCACTGACCCCAATCAGGCATATGATTTGACTCAGTGGATTAGGTCACAGTCAAAAATGTAAATACAAGCTAAAATCTGCTTTATTCAACAATACATCTTTGTGTTGTGTTAGGACAGCCTGTGCTTGTGTATGTGCTGTGGGATCAGACATTTCTCCCATAAGACCATATGTTTTATTTACCTCATAATAACCTAAATGCATCACAAGTACTCTATAAACATGGTATGATATAACCAAGTATATGCTCTGTTAATGTGATCAAAACTTTCAACAGGAAGCGGTCTCTTACGGCTGGACAATATGTCCTGAAATTTAGGCCTAAATCACGATATTTTTAGGCCGTATCTCGATACACAATATTTATCTCAATATTTTTTTAATCTTCTCAAAAGTATGTCATTAACGCTAGGACTGGGAGACTAAATCCAAACACCCTCTCTGATGCAAAAAAGTTGTAGGGATGACTTTTTTTTTCAGAAAATATTAACACAATGAGATTTTTGATTGATAATAATCAATAATATGGGTGTAACGACTAAGTGGGTTGAGGCAAGCGTTAGAATAAAAAGTCTGGTAAGCTGATACATTTACATCATTTTATTAAATGTCAGCCTGTAATGTAAATCGAAGGAATAAACACCATTTGTGCCATATCACGATACAATGGGTGGCTTTGTCTCAGAGAAAGAGAGGGTCATCCACTAATTGGAAGATCAGCCTTTCGATCCCCGGCTCCTCCAGTCTGCATGTCGAAGTATCCTTGAGCAAGATACTGAACCCCAAATGAGTGTGTTAAAACTGAGTAGCAGGTGGCACCTTGTATGGTAGCCTCTGCCACCAGTGTGTGAATGTGTGTGTGAATGGGTGAATGTTATTCATAGTGTAAAAATGGCTTTGAGTGGTCAGATGACTAGAAAGGCGCTATACAAGTGCAGGTCCATTTACCATTTAACGATATCCAGAATCTAAGATGATATATAGTCTAATATCTCAGTTTTGCTGCTCACAATAGTCTTTTCTTTGTCCCATCAGAAATAAGTCAGCTTCCTGTTTGGAGATTTAGATCCAGACAACTTTATTAATCCAACCAGGGGCAATTTGTTTGAGCAGCTTACCTTGCACACATACTATAACATAACGCACAGTAACATGTAGACAGAAATACATGAGTAATAAATAAAATCAGAAAAATTGGAAATAGAGAAATATGCCAGTGGATTCAGTTATATATAAAGGAATCTATTAAAATATTATTAAAAAATATTATAAAAGTTAATAGACAGATTATAAATAAAAGAGTTAAAAAAAAACAATAAATTGCTAAATTCTGATCTGTTGAGTTGAGACTTGATAACTGAGACAAATTTCTCAAATTCTGCAGGCTCATTTATAAGCCAGTCAAGTTTTCTTTTGGATCTTACTGTTATATCAAGAGCCAATAATTTCAGACAAATAAAGATTACTGCAGCAAGAGAGGAAAAAGTGCATTTTAAGATCTTAAACTAGGATCGGGCTGAGACAGGAGGAGGCTCTTAATCAGGAGCTGAATTTAAGGAGTATGAGCAAATGGTCAAAATCTCATATTGATGTTATATTGAGCTCAGTTATATGTTGAGGAAAAATACGCTGGATAAAGAAGAGATCTTATTTTGAATTTTACTTTCCTCTGCAGGATTACTTCCGTGGAAAAAAAAAGTACAGCCATTTAAATTTTTGTTAATTTTTTAAAGGTATTATATTAAAATGATAAGCTTTTTAACCTTGCTTTTTATATCATTTTAAATGGAATACCTTTGACATTTTGATTGTTTGTTAGACAAAAAAAGCAATGTGAAGATGTCGTCTTGGACTCTGGAAACATTTGATAGATGTTTTTCTTTCTTTTAATAGACTAACCCAGTGGTTCTCGATCCAGAGTTCAGGGACCCTGGGCATCCTTGAGGGAGTTACAGGGGAATAGTTTATTTTCATTAATAAATTCACTATAGAACTGTGCCCAATGTGAGTAGGAGCCACAGGAACGACTATTGTAATAGGTTTTACTTCCTCCGTGGTTATTTCCTCAACTGTAGATGACAGGTGTAGCGTCATAATCACATCTAACAACCCAGGTCGTTTCAGATAGAGGAACCTGAAGCAAAATCTTATCAAATGGGGATCTGTGACCTAACGTGCATCAATTTAGGGTCTTTGACCCAAAGAGTGCACCAACCAATAGATAGACTGAAAAATAATCACTGACACAGATAGTAATTAGTTGCAGGCCTATTTGGAATAGCTGCATTTAAAGTGTCACTAGTTAAATCTAATTTCATATATATCAATACCTTCTTGTTCTGGGTAGCAGGCCTCCCCGGTAAGTAAATACACAAAGATGCCAGTGATGTAGAGTATGCCAACTCCAAAATACATCTCAAAGTATACACTCGGTATGTACGGCTTCCTGTATGACAGAAACTCAGAGACTGTAATTGTATAGAAAACCCTATGTCATGTATAATGTCTCAGACCACAAGCAGTAATAGTACTAACCCAAGTTTTCTAATGAGACAAGACAAAACTCTCCCCCAAAAACCTGAGCACACAAGGAAACACTTAAAAACACAATAGAAAAGGAAAGTCAAAGAGAGATCACCACTCCTTGGAACGCTCAGTGTGTACAGGAAGCCGCAGGAGGGAAGAGGGGAGTCACAGAAACCAAAAATGAAGCAATAACAAGCAACAATACAAGAAGATTTAGTTGGCGACAGCTTGTGACTCTGACACATATCTGCTGGTGTACCACTACAGCACTTTTTTTCCTCTGCGGCTTGGCAGGTGTTCAGAGGTGGAAAAAGAGGAACGTTTAGTTGAACCCCAGTGCGTGAGGTTGCCAACGTGGCCCACAACGGTGGCATTGTTGGCGTCTCTAAGCTGCACTCCACCCAGATGAAACCCTGAACGCTGACCCAAACTCATATGAAGAGAAAGAGGGACCTAGAAAAAGTGATGTAGTGGGTATATGTTGTTTGTAAATGAACCATTTACCACAGACTCATTTCACCTGTAAGACAAATGTAACGCTTTTCTCTGCTGTTCCACAAAAAGGAAGGAAATTGATCCCTTGAGCTCTTCCTGGATAAATTAGTTGGTCTATTTGAGTGTTAATGGCACATGAAATTCTGCTTCCTTCGACTTTCCACAGCACTATGCGTTTTAGATTTGATATTGAAAAGTTAATAATTAATAATAACATCTGTGACCTTGATTATTGTTGTAAATTCATGCCTACACATGTATGTATGGTGTAACTGTAACACGTCCAGAAGCCTCTTCACTCATTTTTTCCACTGCATTTGGGTGGAGGCCACACTTGTGTTTCGGTTGTGTGACCTGGTCAGCCTGAGAGAAAGGATGTGGCTTGACAAATTATTTTTGACCTTTGGACTGAGACCAACACAGTAACCTCCCAAGTCACGGGTGTTCCTGTTTGTTTTAAGCCACTGAACACTCTCACTTCCATTAATATCTTTCACAGCAAACAAAAAATACTCCGATTGCACAAGTCTGGGTCATATTTTGGCTGTCACGCTGATCAGTTCTGATGTAATTTAAGAATTTTCTTGAATAGAGTTGGGTTAATTGTTTTGAAACTCAAAAAGTTTAACAAAAATGTGACTAAAACATGACTGAACAATGATCACTCAGTAACTCTGATATTGTTGGCCCAGAAGTAACCTGATCAGATTTCTGCTATCAGATTGGATCAAATCTTGAAAGTGGGTTATTAAAAGTAAAAAAGTCAGATTAGATTATGTATTCTAGTCTTGGTTTTGATCTGAAAATAACCTCCAGCACATATTTAAAAGTTTTTAGCAGGACTGTTTTTTTTTTTTTTTGGGTACTCCGGCTTCCTCCCACAGCCCAAAGAAATGCAAGTCAGGTTAATTGTTGAATGGTTGTCTGTCTCTATGTGTCAGCCCTGTGATAGTCTGGCGACCTGTCCAGAGTGAACCCCGCCTCTCGCCCCATGGTCAGCTGGGATAGGCTCCAGCCCTCCCGTGACCCCTAACAGTTTAAGGGGTTACAGAAAATGAAATTGTTTAACTGTTACGATGATAAAGTAGACATTAGGCTACCTATAAAGTCTTTGTGCTGACTCCTGTTTCCATCATGTCACCTTGTTTTGTGCGTTCTGCAGCTGGCTTGATAAAAGAGGTTATCACAGCATGTATGCAGGTGCTGGTAAATAAAGCAAATCTAGCAGCCATTTGCATATTTGACCAACATTTGGCTGGTGGCTTGTGCTTATTTCTAACCCTGCACATATCTGTGTTGTGGTGGGGGTGAATGTGGCCGAGACACCTAGATAATAATACTTCAAATGCTTTCATTGGTGAGCCACAATTGTATGACCTCATTCAGTGATAGACAGTGACTTAACAGACAGTTATTTAAATGAAAATCTTTGAGATTATTACTTTAATTTTAACTTTTTTTATTCTCTTTTTATTTAGTTATCTCAGGGTCCAGTCAGACA